CGTATGCAACACAATGGTGTTTCATACAGTAGAAGGGACACAATCATGATATGACGGTAGATTTTTCGCTTCCCTTCCCATCCTCCCTTCCTCTCTCCACTGCCCTCCAGCTGCCACTGCAGCACCATGTGGAATGAACGGAAGTGTGCTAAGCAGGTGTTTATATAGCCCTAAGAGTGTTATCACAACTATCCTGCTACAAAACATTGATATCTCAATCCTGTAAGCTACCGATTTGTTAGCGGTTGACGGACAGACGGACATACATACATACATACATACACACATACATACAAACCGACACACCAAGTTAGCGGTTTATATAATAGAAGGATTATTGATTTGAATTATTGGTAGTTTATTATTCACTGATGAAAAAACAAGACCAAATGTATGGTGATATGTATACGAGTGCGATGGTCCGCAATGGGTTCGAAGTTCATAGAGGTGACTCGTTAAGGGAATTATTGACTTTTTCCAATTTAAAATGCAAAAAGCTACTGAATGTGATCATAAGCACTCAGCCAGCCTAGCAAGTCATGTATATCAAGCTCTTGGTGAAGCATCTGTTACTTTTGTAGGTGTCTTGGCCGTGCTGAGGGGTTGACGAGATCGCTAAATGAGTAAAGGTGTGATTAAAGGAATCTTGCGCGGAAAATTCTTGCACTCTTTCCTAACATGAATATGTCAGTTGTGATCACTGGAAATAGCACACAAAGTTTCACGCATGAAGATTCGGTTTCTGAAGAGAAACAAACGTACAAAAACACGTTATGGACCATCGAAGGACCAGGAGGCAGAGCCAGGCGAGGCATGGAAAGAAGACGGCGTTTGGCCGGCTACGTACCAGGCGACGCAATGAGAGAATCGGGTTAAAGCGCGCGATTTCGGAGAGTGGAGACAAATCGATCGATGGAATAGGATGGAGTAGAAGTGTAAGATGTGAATGCAACGAAGCAGAAGGCCAGAAAGAGCTTCTAGTGAATGCACTCCAAGAACCAAGTTTGAGCATCCCCGTCGCCAGCATTCGTGAAAGACGTCCGTGGGCAATTCGAACGCGTAGCAGCCTTTTCGAGTTTTCGAATTTCTAATCAAAACGAAAGCAATACTTTCAGTTCTTTTCTATTATCGTGGATAATGAGTCTCAAGCCAGTGATTTATGGCTGAAATAGAATCATGATTTTTCCGCGCAAGATTCCTTTAAGACACTGAGCAACTGACAATATTGAGTTAATAGTTGAAATGGTTCTTCGATCAAGTGAAAGCCCACCCCCTCCCCCGCCTGGGATCCTAAAATGATAAGGGCAGCTGCAAAGACCAAACGAAGTACTGGTTACAATGGACTCGTTCCAAAATCAGATCCCATCAATAACGCTTGCGCATCTGCACTGTATATTGTACTAACCAGCTGAGCATGCGAATAAATATAAAGGGCAATTACCGCAGTTGATAAATGCTTTACCTCGGTGCATAATGCATTTTTCTTTCATCAGAATACGCAGTCCGCATGAAGTCTGATCGATTGGTCCATACAGTGATTTTCGCAGGCCAAGGCCATGCACAACTCGAGTGTTTTTGTCTCCCTGGCAGTCGTTACTCGATAAACGATCTGAGGGTGAAACGTCTTTGGTCGGCGCTTAAAGCGGTCATTCAAGATTGCTCCCCGACCATCGCGATAGCAAGCGCCAGTTTGACTACATCAACCGCCCTTGACTCATAGACTATCTAAATTCACTGTGCAAAGTTTAGCTCATTGATGACTCCATCACAGATGTTCTCAATTTTTATGATTTTAGATCATGCATACTGGCTCAAAATCAAACACCCTAAATTCATTCGACCTACTTGGTGACGAAGTTCATGTGGGTTTTTTCAGTGTTTTTCTTTTTTTCTATTTTTTTTCGACCTATTGAACTTTGAGTAAATAGTCCTCCTTGTAGTTTATGCGCTATTGACAGTATCGGAGAAATACTGCAGCAGTTATCAATAGCCTCTAAATTTCATTGCTTCGCATGGATCGGTCGCTAGTTGATTTCGTTTCAAAATTTGATAGTAGAGCATCTGTTTAAATTTTTTCCAGTCATTTTGGAGGTGGTTGATATTTTCCTCGTACAGACCTTCGATGAATCCATGCGGTGCACGCAAAAAGTTTCTGGAAGAAGAATTTCGTTCGCTAATGAAGCTTTTGCCTTGAAAGCCTCCCTTTTCTCCATCTTTCGCGATGGAAATCTTATAGCCACATTTGACGCGAGCCCTAAAAAGATCTCTGCCAGCAAATACTCGAACGAGAACTAATTTACTTTATTTATCAATGACCTTTAAGCAAGGCCGATCCAGGTATGTAGAGAGGTCTCCGTTCGCTCGCAAGTTTATGGCAATGAACAGTGCTGGAAGGCGGTGCGGTTTTGATGACGTCAGATTGTCACTGGTGGACAGGTCTATCAGCCCACTGAGGGGCGCAGTTGGGATCGCCTCGCGACGGCCCTCTACTAGTGACGTTAAATGGCATCATCACCACCGCAACGTCTTCCTGCCATGATGATTATTGCCTTTTAGTGCTGAATGAATGAATGTCCAAGCGAGTCGTTCTATAACCCGGATTTGGATAAGTTCCAAAAAGTGGTTTGAAATGAAAACCGCCTTGAGTATCGGCGATTCCACATGAATATTGCACATGCAAATTTATTCGCATTTCGATAGATCTGTTTTGAAACCCATGTATAATAGAATGCGAACGTGTGGCGCATTGCAAAACGACTGATTAGAGACAACCTTTTTCCTCTTTTTATCGAGAGTTTAGTTTGCGAACTTTGGCTTGAGTTCAAGAAGGTTCATGGGTCAGGCGATTGATTCGTAGGTAGTTTGCTCCTTTCATTCAAAGGAATTGGCATCATCAAAGGATCCTTAACGGAAAATTCTTGCTTCTTTCCAACATGAATGTGTCAGTTGTGATCACTAGAGACAACACACAAAGTTTCACGCATGAAGATTCGGTTTCCGAAGAGAAACAAACTTACAAAACCACACTCTATGGACATCGAAGGTAAGGTCGGCGCGGAGCCAAAGGCGGGCATGGAAAGAAGTCCGCTTGGGGCGGCTACGTATCAGGCGACGCAATGAAAGGAGAATAGATACAGTAGAGGTGTGCGATGTTAGGAATAAGTCAAAAGGTCAAAAAGAGTTTCTAGTGACAGCACTCCGTGAACCAAGTGGAAGCGTTCCCGCCGCCAGCATTTGTGACAGATGTCCGGCGGGAATTTGAACGCGTAGCAGTCCTTCCGTTTTTCGAATTGTTTACCAAAACAAATGCAATTTTTTTGTTCTTTTCGTTCTTATCGTGAACGATGGGTCTCAAGCCAGTGATTTATGGGTGAAATAGAATCATGATTGTTCCGGGAAGGATTCCTTTGAGTGTCCAGGGAATCTTAGGCGCAAATGCTTTCATTCCACCGATAAGGCAGTGAGTGGAATCTTCTCGGGATTCCACATTGGCTGGCAAAATTCCCAATGCGCACGATCGAGAGCTTCCTTTACTCTTCGGAGGTTCCCCATAACTAGAAGAAGGCAAATAGTAAGCAACTTTCGGACTCTCATCTGTTAGCAACTTTCTGGTTCGTTAAACTTATCATTTTCCGTATAATTCACCCTTGTAACAAGAAATGGGTTATCTTACATCTAGTTAGTAAGACTCCATTAAAACATTAACACCTTTGGGCCAGGGTCAACCCTATGTTGCTACAAGTAGCAACGGGGGGGGGGTCGTATTTTGATGAGTTTGTAGAGGGGGGTCGTACTTGCTTCGGTTGTAAGAAGTTGCATGTGATGAGTGGGGAGCGGGCGCGGGAGAAAATTTGTCAGCGCGCGTATATACCCCCCCCCGCTCGACGGTAATTTTTTGGGGTAAAAATTGTTTTGAAAGAGGGGTCGTATGAAACATTTCATGAGGGAGGGGGGTCGTAAAAACTTTTTGAAAAGTAGCAACGATAGGACCGACCCTGCCTTTCGACCACTCGAATCTTCACATTTCCTAGACAAATTCGAGCACATAGCGCGTTGATTTGACTCTTCCTCAGTATTTTTCAGTATGATCTCATTGAAATGAGTCGGCCGTCGTGCAATATTTCTCCAACGCTTTTCACCTGAGCGATCGATTTTGTTTAAATTTACGATGTTTTTTTAGGATCCGAAGCCGGTTGTGTCTTCACCACAATCCTTGACACTTTTCATCACATTCATGACGGTTTGCTATTTTACTATTTTGAAGATTTTTTCACAGATATATAAAGGCTTGAGGTATATTCGGCACTTAACTAGTCGGGTACTCGACAGGAGGCCCTTCGCGTGCCTTGAGAAGGCGGAGTCAGCGGACGAATCGCGCGTAGAATACATTCAGTTCGCCTCCTGGGGTCGAGTCGCCAGAATCTGCGCGATAATTGAAGCTGAGGTTGAGCGGTGGCTTGGAACGCAAGCTAAAGCCTATAAATGGGCACTCCTGAGCTTTCTTCTAGGAAATGTGTGGTGTTTCAATTTTAGATGACCTGAATTGAGTGGAGACGAGTTGCAGCGCGTACTGTAGGTGATTTCGCGTCAAGTTAAATAGAATGTCCATTGTACGTCCTACATCGCACATCACGCGCTGCGACTCGTCCGCTGACTCTGCCTTCTTGTGGCGCGACGGGCCTCCTGTCGGGTACCCTAACTAGTAAGATGAGCGAGCACACTTTATGCAATTTGCTCTCATTGTGTACATGGAAGAGCCTTGCAGAAGTCCACTAGTCACCAACACATAAAATCGTGTTGGCTCCAAAGTATCATTAGGAAAACCAGAATCACCACCTTTCTGTTACGGTAAAAATAGCAAATCACCACACTGTGACTGCATTTGTGGAGCAACTAAAGGAAGTGTATGAGGTTTTCAGATGCGCCATTCGAACCCGTTGGGCGCGGAGGAGTCTCATTGGACAAGCTCATTGAAGATCAGGTAGCGGAAGTGCACGGTGATGTTGACGAGGTCCTGCACCGAATGCAGGAAACTGATGAATATAAACCCGAGCACAAAGAGGAACATCACCACAAAGAGGATCATCCGCCTAAAGAGGAACACGAGCACAAGGATGACCGTAAGCACCCTTATCAAACATTATAAATGTTGTGGTGTTGATGGATGAGATGTGCCGTGGAGCTGATCATCTGAAGACAGCCTGCTGGTTCCATCTTTCGGGGTCACGAGACAGGTAAAAGTACTGCTGAACAGCTCCACTGTACATATTTTGAACCTTCAGGATATCGCCACCATTACGATGAGGATTCCGATTCAGATGAACCGGATTTCCGCAGTCAAACACCGGATGCGGACGAGTCGACGTTCAATCGTCGTGGGCCACTTACGATACCCGAGGTACCTGAGGTGAGCAGAGCTTGATTCCACTTGCTACTTTTACCGCATTTTAATCTAACTATAAGCCTACCACAGTAAAATGGAGCTACCTTTCACTTACTGGAGGAGAAGATTTGTAGCTTTTTGCATTAAATAAGGTCTAATTTTTCAAAAGCGGCCATTGTTTTTTTTTGGAAAGTCTTCGTTTTCAGACACTTCCAACTCCAGCCACCCATGATGATATTGTTGAAGTTGAGCAACCAGAGATTTCGCCTATCCAGTGAGTTTTACCCAAGTGGATAATTTGAGTGAAACTCCTTATTTTGATTTGTTTTTTTTTGTAAGTATACCATGAAAAGCTGAGTTGGGATGAAATGGTGCCCCGGTAGCGTAACTGGTAGCGCACTTGCCCGGAAAGCGAGAGGTGCGGGTTCTAGTCCCGCCTGGGGCGAAAGTTTTGTTCACAACCCAGCATTCTTGTGAAACATTCGCAACGCGAACTGCGGCGTTAAAACAGCAGTTAACAAACAAAACAAGTCAAAAATTAATATCTGGTGGAGCTTTTAACCTTTGGCTTACTGCCGATATCGGCTATCGGCTCTTGTGCAAGTGGGAGATGTGAGTGTAGATGTTGATCAATCCCTGTAGAATGCGCCACGCATCTAACTTTTTGATTGGAAATTCGAGGTATTCTCTTCGTACACCACTTACGGTGTTACGTATGGGAGACCGCCCTCAGTGTTCTTTCTCGGTTTCTTGAGTACGAAATGGAGACAGCCGAATTGCCCGATATTTGAGATTCAAATTATCAGTTTTGGCATCAAAAGT